ATAACTAATAGGAAGTCAAGGTTTTCATCTATCAAATGATGTATTATATTATGTTGTTTTCTGAACAGAGAATTGTCAATTTCTCTCTTAGTACAAGCTTTATTCACACGAGAAACATATTGACTAGTTTAGATGAATTTGTAACTGCTCTTGTAGCATAGTTAGAAAGCCAGACAAATTGTGGTAGTTATGGGACATTGTCTGCTTTTTGCATGTTATTATTCTATGTTCTTTGGTGCATTATTTAGTTAAATAAAAATTATTTAATGCACTACTACCATTAGTACAAAAAAGTAGGGTTAAGTGTCATTGTCAATCGACAGCAAAAAAAAGGAGGTCCAGGTAAGTATTTTATTTCATGTTTTTCATGCATATTCTTTATTTATTATTATAAATATAACTAAAATGTAAAAATGGAAACCTGAGTTAGTTAAGGTTAAATTAAGTAAAATAAATAATAATATAGTAAAAAAAATTTCAGCGGGCACACACATGAGCAGCTCAGAGTAGCTCGTGAGCAATGTAATTCAATAGCGTAACATAAACCGCCTGTTCCCCAAGTGATAAAACTTAAATGGTGCAAGTAATAATTAGACATAGTTCAAAGAGCAATAGAACAATAAAATTTAAGTATAAATAGTTGTATACTGTTACGGATGTAAAGCTACTTAGGATAAATAAATGTAGTTTCATGTTACAACTAAAAGTCATTCTAGAAATATAAAAAAGGATAATTTAGATTTATTTAGATTTTTTTTGGTGATTATAAGTTAGGGTAGAGAAAATAATTGATAAAATATAAAGTTTTACTGAAAACAAATGTTTGAAATGTATTTAGGATGTTTTAGAGATTACACAAATGAAATTTGATGTTTTTGTGACAAAGAATAGTATTTCTAATCATAACATGAAAATCACTTTGCACTCGGACAAGTAATGAAACAGACTTGATATATTCAAAAACAAATCTATAGAAAAAATACTTCATTAAAAAATCTGATTTTTTATATACAAAAGACTTGTAATGTTTCTGAAAAGTCTACAAAATTTTGTGAAGATACACATACTGTATTAAAAGTTATAGTTCTTTTAAAGAAAAGAGAGGACTTAAATAGGCCTACAGATAATTTTTTGGGAACTCTGTCTTTATATGCTCTACATAATTTTATTTACTGTAAATAAAGTATCAGGTGCAACTAAAGAGTTAGTGTGACATTTTCCTTCAAACCAATAATATTTTTACTGAATTACACCATAACACATTCCTTCAGATCCAAGTTTACTTTCATTTGACCCTTATTTTTCCCACAGAAAACACCGTAGTTCACATAATTCCCATTCTGCTAGATAACCTAGAAAATACGCTATATTGTCTAGTGAATGTGAAAGGGTTCAGAGGACAGGCACTGTATTGTTAACACTTTATTCCTGAGTTCTCTTATCAAGGCATAGACCAGTGCTATTAGAAAAACATTGGAATACTTAATTTTAGTTTAAAAGATCCATATTTTCAAACCCAATAACTTGTTTTGTTCAATTTTAAATAACACTTTATATTCAGTATTTTTGATGTTGCTAGAAGGTTATTTAATGTGCTATACTATTGATTTGTGAGTATCAAAGCAATTATTTGTTAATCTATTTAATACAAATTGTGTGAGTGTTGCTGTTAGTCTATCAAGTTTATTCTAGATGAAATCTTTTATTCCTCTACTGTAGAAAACAACTTTCAAACAAAATTTTAAATCCTGTATTGTCTTTTTTAAATAATCTCTTTGAAATCTTAGTAGTTTTGTCATGATGAAAATGAAAGCATCAAACATTTTCCAGTAGGTTCAACTACCGAGTTTGAGGTGCATGGCCCAAATGTGTTACCAAAATCCTAAGGTAGCAGCTGTTATATGCACAGGTAAAAATTATTGAAATACAATTTCATCTAGGTCATATACTACAAAGTCAGCATGGTTTTAAACATAAATCTGATTTATAAACAGCATGTCTTTGGAAATAGTTTTAACCTGCATATTATTCAGTCAATAATTGACTCTTCCAGCAAATTTAACAGATCCATACTTATTAATCTCAGGATGTTTTGTCTAGTCTAATATGATACTTTATCTTCAATTTTCGATATTGCTTTACTCAATTGGTTATTCAATATGGCTTACATAACAGTTATGGTACTTCTAATTTAATAAACAATTCTGGCTTAATTATTACTCACTTACTGAAATTTGACTCTTCCAGCAAGCTTTGGTGGCAAGTCTGTACCTGACCAGTTAGTAACCTTGATGGGCAGAGACAAAACAACAGAGATGCAGCTGGCTTCTGCTAAATGGTATTAATCAAGTTATTCTATAAAGATATAGATGAAAAAATTATCTTCTAAAAATACATGGTTTTGACCTAGGATAAATAGACTTTACCTTTTAACATTTTTGTATTTATTTTTTATTCTTTCATTGGATATTAAATAAGATTTTTTACCATCTTACATTGCACAGAAGTGTAAGTCAAATAAATAGATCCACACTAAAAAAGTTAGTGATAAGCTAATGAATCCTATTCTGTATGACAATCTGACTATAATTTTATAATGTCATAAATCAATACACTTGAAACCTGTAACAATTGTTATATGTTTAATATCAGTTGGGTACTCTTGCTATTAACAATATATCAGTTGTAATTCCACTGATATCTCATAAGGTTCAACAAGTCCTAAGTCCATATTACTAAGCTAACACTGCAAGATTATCTTCATAAATATAATGTCAATTCATAAAATTTATTATAAGTATTATAACCAATAATATTAGTAAAATTGTGTGTAAAGAATATTGTAGTAGGCTTACTATTAAGCTGTAAGTTTATAAGCATTAAAATGTGCCATTCACTTCTGAACTGCATAGAACCAGAGACAGATGGACCATAGTGAGGACAAAGAAAGATAATAAACTGGAGTTTTAATATTTTCTGTTTTTAAAGTCAAATATAAGTAACTCTTTAAGACTTATGTCATTTGAAAGGTTTCACAATGTTCTGTTTTGCTTGTATTTGAATGAAAAAAAAAATATTGCAATCAAAAACAAAAATGGCATGCCACCTGTACCATGATGTCAATCAGGCATTTAAGGTAATCCTTTGGTGAAAGTGATAGGAACCAGTTATTGAGTATTAAAATGGAGAAGTTGTGTACATGCTATCATTTACCTATAGGGGTCTTTGTGAAATAAAAAAATCAAAAGTTTGACAGAAACAAAATGTACATACTTATCATTGAAAAACTACATTAAGTTCTTTGAGCACTTATACAGATGAAGCCCCATCACTTTTACTTGCAACAGTTAATGGTAGATTTTCTTTTACATGTATACATAGCTACAGACATATAGCGGGCTTAAATGAAGAGGTTTGACATATCAGTAAAAGTAGTTAAAGCTTTCAAATCCACAATCTTTCATCTAATTCAGATATAAGATTAGGATTTATAATATAAACTTTTATGTTGGAAATGATTGATATAGGCATTTTTTAAAGAGTTTAAAGCATATTAGTTTCTTATAACTAATACTTGAAACTGTTGGTACTTGGTGAAACTCCATAATTACAAAATTGAGGTAAAAGCAAAGACAACGGTACATTTCACAAATACTTCATTTGTTAACAACCATGGTTTCTCCAGTAGAGGCATCATCAGGTCTTTGTTTTTCCCTCAATTCTGATATTAGTTTCTCATTTTTCATCTTTTTTCTTTATAAGCTACTAACTTAGGTGAACATTTATACAAAGAATAAACATTTCACTGTTGTAATCTGTCTGAAACTTTTATATTTATTTATTTACTAGCAGAGTTACCCGGCGTTGCAGGTGAAAATTTAGATTTGAAATGTATAGATCAGTATTTTTTCAGCAAATTATTCAGTAAGTAGACAAAAGCTGTGATGCGAGAAATAAAAAAGCATTTAATCAAACAAAGCTTTATTTGAAATTAGATCGTGTTTGAGCTTGTCTTGTTCTTTGAGCCTGAAGTC